CGTTTATTTATTTTTGAGACAGAGAGGGACAGAGCATGAATGGGGGAGGGTCAGAGAGAGAAGGAGACACAGAATCTGAAACAGGCTCCAGGCTCTGAGCGGTCAGCACAGAGCCCGACGTGGGGCTCAAACTCAGGGACCACGAGATCATGACCTGAGCCGCAGTCGGACGCTCAACCTACTGAGCCACCCAGGCGCCCCAATGCTTATTTATTTTTGAGACAGAGAGAGACAGAGTGTGAGTGGGGGAGGGGCAGAGAGAGAGAGGGAGACGCAGAATCCAAAGCAGGCTGTAGGCTCCCAGCTGTCAGCACAAACCCCGACGTGGGGCCCGAACTCACAACCGTGAGATCATGACCTGAGCCCAAGTTGGACACTTAACCGACTGAGCCACCCAGGTGCCCTACATATGGATTTTAAAGGCAACCTAAGGACAATTGCCTCTACCAAATACTTTCTCCTCCCTGCCTTCAAAGTTTTTCACTTCAAAACCAAGCTCAAATAGTGAAGAGATTGGAAGGTACATACCACCAAATTGTTATCAATGGTGGCTTTCAATGCCCTTCCTTTTCTGTATTTTCTAAAGTTGCAACATTTGTTATTTTTGGAAAGAAAATACAATCGAAGTTACATAGGAAAAAAACTCTCTAAAACCTCAATTTAAAGATCCTCTCCTGAGGGAAGTTTTCCCTGATCACACCTCTCAGTATGACTTAGGGATCCTCTTGTATCCACACAGTCACCCTGCATTTTTGTCACTCCTAGTCCATAGAAGCAGCAGGGGAACCATAAATGTGGATCTTCTTCCTTGGACTGCGAACTGGAGGGCGGGGACCATGTCTTAGTCATTTCTGAATCCCCAGCTCCAAACAAAATGCTTCGTGTTCAGTAAGAACTCAGAAAGTGTCTGTTGGATGAACAAATGGGTGAGGTTATCAAGTCGTGGGTAGGAAACAAGATGGAGGTCCATGGTCTAGAGCGCTGTGGTGGTAAAGGAGGCTGTGGGTCTTTAGTTATTGAAACTCAATTCTCAGGGTCCAGGACAGATCAGAGAGGAAATTTCATGCTGAGGCCTCTGGCCTTGGGCTAAAGCTTCTTAAGTTGACCTGGGCAAGATGAGAGGGGGAGGGTTGCAGAACCCGGAGTACAGCTGAGCCTGTTGGAAGGAGTTCAGTAACCCTAGGTGGGGAGTATCACAATTTGAAATTATCTATTGATTTGTTTGCTTTGTTACATGTCACCTCTTGTTAATGAGAGCACTCTATGAGGATAGGACCTTATCTGACTTGTATCACCAGGGCTCGGACCAATGCCTGGCACATAGATGACACTCAATAAATATTTGTTGAATTAATGTTGAATGAACGAACTCACTCTCCACCAAGCCCACGAGAAAGAGCTCAGATGCAGCTTTATTCATTCATCCTGTAAAATATAATTGACAATAGATCTGAAGAAACCCCAGTCAGCACATTCTTTACTCTGTGGGAAGGCGTGCTGCGGAAGCCAAAAGTAGATCTGAGAGTTGCTTGGTAAATACAGAGTTGGACTAAGGGGACTTGGAAGATCTTAAGAGACTGTGTCATTGAGCTGGGGCACCCTGATGAGTCATGCTTTCCTACATGAGGACAGACGTTCCTTGCCAAACAGGATCCTGCCTTGCCCAATGCTGCCATCTTTTCCTGTCACTGTGGGAGAAACACAGTCTGCCCCATTCCCCTTTCTCAGCAAGACTTATCAGTCCTAATGTTTCTTTCTTTCTTTCTTTTTTTTTTTTTTTAAGGCTTTCCCTCACATTACTGTGCCCAGGATTACAGAGTGTCCCTTGCTGGTTACATTTTCCACTGTGGCTTCCCAATGAGATTTTTGGCTATAATTCACATATCCTGCTAAAGATGAACCATTCTGGATCCCAGACTGAAACCTTCTACTATTCTAGTTGCAAAAGTTACTCGTTGTCCCTCTATCTCAATTTATCTTTAGAAAATGAAATAATAATACCTTTTCCATGTGTCCCACAGGCTATTACGCAAAAGAAATTGAAGACGATAAATAAGGGTGGCTCAGAAGTTGTGCTTCGATCCTTTTAATTAGAGTTCCATACCTGATTTGCCACTGATGAGCTACCGGACATTAAATAAGTCATTTTATCTGATACTTAGCCCATTGTCTTGTTCTTAATAAGCGGGAAATCCTCATATGGTTCTATCGCCATAGAGTGACCTGAGACACCTCCCTACTTTCCCAAGCAGCCTGAGGAAAAATAGTCGGTTGCTTTTTTACGTAACTAGTGGGCTTTTACTCTGTTGACTGTGTTATATAAACTTGAGACCAGGGGCACCTGGCTGGCTCAGTTGTTAGAGCATGCAACTCGTGATCTCAGGGTTGTGAGTTTGAGCCCCACATTGGGTGTAGAGATTACTAAAAAAAAAAATAAATAAATAAAATTAAAAAAAGAAAAAACTTGATAACACAGCTGAATGGTTTGAAAACAGAAGGGAATTTCAGAAGTTGGGTAGTAGGAGGGATGGAGAGAAGAGACTCCGCAATGGAGAAATTTTGAAAAAGAACAGGTCTAGCAAGACAACAAGACAAAAGAAGGGATCTAGTTAAGCTTGGCTATGCGATGCAATCCTCTTCTCCATCTTCCCATGAAACCTTCAGTATAATGTCATTAGTCATAAATAGTTTTTTTAAAGTTTATTTATTTTTGAGAGAGAGAGAGAGAGAGAGAGAGAGAGAATCCCCAGCAGGCTCCATGCTGTCAGTGCACGGCCCGACTCAGAATTCAAACTTACAAACTGTGAGATCATGACCTGAGCCAAAATCGAGAGTTGGCCACTTAACCGACTGAGCCACCCAGGCGCCCCCAGTCATAAATACTCTTGAATTTGAATGTATTAGGAGGAGACAAACAAGTGCCCAGTCTGGCCTTGATGCATATACGGTGTGTACAGGCAGTACAGGTAAAAGCCAATCATCTTCTGGTTATATAATTAAAAAATGAAGAGGTAAATTGTGTAGTCTTATGGGGTCTTACAGCTCTAATATTGTGTGATTCTATATATGGTATAAACAGGATGTTACCAGGAAATTCCTTTTTTTGTTTGTTTCTGAACTGTAGAATCTTTTTAGGCTTTATTACCTATCTTTTTTGTTAACTTCTTTTTATAGATTAAAAAAATGTAATTATAGTATAGTTGACATATAAACGTATAGTTTCAGGTGTAAATGTAGTGATTTGACAATTACATACTTTAGGACGTGCTTACCATGCTAAGTGTAGTTACCACCTGTCACCACACAAAGTTATTACAATATTATTGACTAGATTCCCTATCCTGTACCTTCTATCCCCATGACTTATTTATTTTATAACTGGAAGTGAATCCCCCCCCCTTCTTTTTAATGTAAGCTCTATGCCCAATGTGGGGCTTGAATAGAGGACCCCGAGTTCAAGAGTTGCATGCTCTCTGATTGAGCCAGCCAGGTACCTCAGGAAGTGTGTACCTCTTAATCCCCTTCACCTATTTCACCTATCTCCCCACCCTGCCTCCAGGAAGTTATGATGCAGTGGGTTAGGGTGAGGCTTGGAGATTCCCATTAAAAAAATTTCCCTAAATGATTATGATGCACACCAAACTTTGGGCATCATTGTACAAATACTTATCACATTCTGTGGTCAATGTTTAATTGCCCACACATGATCACTCTTCTCCCAGTCCTTAGCATGCAGTATTGCTGACAGAAGCAAATGGGGTGTGTTCAGAGAATGTAAATTCACATTAATATTATTCTGAGTGAAACATGCTTATAAAAATAATATATCAATGGGAAAAAGAATACAACAAATGGTGCTGGGACAGCAGGATATCCATATGCAAAAAAATGAAATTGGGCCCCTACCTCACACCATATATATATGGGCCATCCAGGCTCCCCTGCCTCACATCATATTAAAAGAAAAGAGAGAGAAAAAAAAAAAACTCAAAATAGATCATAGACCTAAATGTAGGAGGTAAAACTATAAAATTCTTAAAAAGCAGTACACAAGTAAATCTTCTTGACCTTGTCTGAGGCAATGGTTTTTAAGACATGATACCAAAAGCAGGAATGAGAGAAAAAAATGAAAGATAAATTAGACTGTCAAAATGTAAAACTTTTGGGCTTTAGTGCCCATACCATCAAGAAAATGAACAGAAACTCCACAGAATGGGAGAAAATATTTACAGATCATATATTTGATAAGACATTTGTATCCAGAACATATAAGTAACTTCTACAAATTAAAAAGACAACTCAGGGGCATCTGATAGGCTGAGGCAGTAGAGCATGTGACTCTTGATTGATCTCAAGGTTGTGAGTTCAAGCCCTATGTTAGGTGTAGAGCTTACATAAAGTAAAATAAAATAAAATAGAATAAAATAAAATATAATAAAATAAAATAAAATAAAATAAAATAAAATAAAATAAAATAAAATAAAGTAAAATAAAGAAGACAACCCAGTTGAAAACTGGGCAAAGAATTTGAATATACATTTTGCCAGAGAAGCTATACAAATGGGCAATAAGAACATGGAAAAATGCTCAACATCATTAATCATTAGGGAAATGCAAATCAAAACTACAATGAGATACCATTTCACCTCCTACTGGGATAGCTAAAATTAAAAGGAAGACAATAACATGTGCTGCTGAGGATGTAGAGAAACTAGAAGCCTTAGACATTGCTAGTAGGAATTTAATATTGTTCATTCAACTACTTTGAAAAAATAGTTTGGCGATTCCTCAAAAAATTAAACATGAAGCTATCACATGGCTCAGCAATTCCGTTCCTAAGTATGTACCCAAGAGAACTGAAACATATATTCACACAAAAACATAAACACATAAATGTTCATAGCAGCATAATCCATAATCACCAAAAAGTAGAAACAATGCAAATATGCATCAACGATAAATGTACACACAAAATGTGATGTAGCCATAAAATGAAATATCAGTTACCCATAAAAGAATAAAGTACTGGGGCAGCTGGGTGGCCCAGTCGGTTAAGTGTCTGACTCTTGATTTTAGCTCAGGTCATGATATCACGGTTCGTGAGTTCGAGCCCCACATTGGGCTGTGCGCTGACAGTGTGGAGCCTGCCTGGGATTCTCTCTCCCTCCCCCTCTGTATCTTCCTTGCTTGTGCTCTCTCTCTCAAAATAAATACATAAACTTAAAAAAAAAGAGAGAATGAAGTACGGATTCATCCTACAACATGTGTGAGCCTTGAAAACATTATGCTAAGTGAAAGAAGTAAGTCATAAAAAGCCATATATTGTATGATTTCATTGAAAAATTTTTGTTAATGTTTATTTATTATTGAGACAGAGCATGACTGTGGGAGGGGCAGAGAGAGGAGGAGACACAGAATCTGAAGCAGACTCCAGGCTCTCAGCTGTCAGCACAGAGCCAGATGTGGTGCTCGAACTTGTCAACTGTGAGATCATGACCTGAGCCGAAGTCAGACACTCAACTGACTGAGCCACCCAGGCGCCCCTGTATGATTTCATTTATACCAAATGTCCAGAATAGGCAAGTTCATGAAGACAGAAAGTAGATTAGTGGTCGGTAGGGGTTAAAGGAAGGTTGGGAGGTGGGTGTTGGGGAGTCACTGCTAATAGATACAGTTCCTTTTGGGGGTGATGAAATGTTCTAAAATATGATTGTAGTAAGAGTTGCACAACTCTGTGACTATACCCAAAATCATTGGATTGTATACTTTAATATACATTATGGTATGTAGATTAGATCTCAATAAAGTTTTATAGGGTGCCTCGGTGACTCAGTCGGTTGTGTCTGACTCTTGATTTCAGCTCAGATCATGATTTCATGGTAGTGGGACCGAGTCCCGAGTTGGGCTCCATGCTGAGTGTGAAGCCTGCTTGAGATTCTCTCTCTCTCTCTCTCTCTCTCTCTCTCTCTCTCTCTCTCTGCCCCTGTGCCACTCAAAGTAAATAAACATTAGAAAATAATAAGGTTGTTATAAAAATAGTGCAGCATACACAGTATGATCATACAAAAATTCTACATGAAACACAACATTTTAGATTACACATTCCATTGCTCAACCCAAAACACACTGTATTAGTCAGTGCTTTTGCAAGTGACAGAAATCCGGCTTAAACCGGTTTATAAAAAGAATACAATGTATTGGCTCATGTAGCCAGAAATTACAGGGGTTGTTGGCTTTAGGCAAAGCTAGGTTTAGTGGCTCCAATGATGTCATCCAAGAATCCTTTCTTTCCATCTCTCAGCTCTGCTATCTATCTTCTATGTTGGTTTCTTTCTCAGGTAGACTCCTTACATGTGGTGGCAAGATGGCCACCGATGTCTACAGGATTACAACCTTCCAAGTTAGCAAGCTTTGCCTTTCAACAACAACTCAGGATTAGATTTTGACTGTATATGGGTGCCCTTGGAGTGTGACTGGCCCAGCTTTATGGTAGGGGACAAACTATAGTGAGTTATAGTTTGATGCTACACATTTCAAAATTAGGTTACTTAAAATAAATGACCTTTGGGTGTTTTGGAAAAGAAACATGGGTACTTGGAACCAACATTAATCTACATGGACAGATGGATCAAAACTCCTAATTAAAAAAAATAATACGTGGAGTTTTGATTTCAATGATCAGAAGCAACTAGGTGCGAATGTCCAGAATCAAGACACAAGAGCAGGGCTTGGTCGCAGGCCTGAAACCTTTGCTATCAGCCCAATGTGAGCAGGAAAGGCAAGGTGAAGGCAATGTCAAGGCTAGGGGAAGGAAACCGATGTGTGCTGTGCACTTACTAAGTGCTTTACATGCACTACTTTGTTGGACCTTCACAACAAACCTGCAAGGTAGGGATTTCGATTTCTATTTTACTGATGACAAAACTCAGGGTCAGAGACATTAGTGACTAGCCCAAGGTCACATATCCCTAAGTCTCCATATTTCCACTGGAGACAAATTGGTCTCCATATTTCCCCAGACACGGGCTTTTCTGGGCTTGAGCCTAGGGATGGAATCCTCCTCTCCAGGAGAGGAGCAGCGTCTTTATATTTTTTCTGCTTTTCACCGGAAGTAAATCCTAGAATCTCCTAGAGAAGGAAGACTTCCTTTGCAGATAGTAG